GTGATAGATGGTGTGGCGGCAGAGCAGCTCCCAGCTCCAATGCAAGGCACGTGCGTAAAGGGAGATGCTGGGGGGGGGCGACGGCAGCGACGACGATGCGATGCGACGGTTCGTATAAGTACTCGAGTATGGATTGGCTGCGAGCGAGAAGCAGCAGGAAATCGCCCCTCCAAAGGCTGGTTGTGCGAGGCCTATTCGCGAGGCAGCTCGAGCCCTTTTGTTGGTGATGGGCGAATGAATGGTGAGGGAGCTGGAGAGGTTGGAATCAATCCAAGAGGCCGGGACCAGCAGAACGAGCCAGGCGGCTTAGGGCGGTGGGGGCAAGGGCGAGCACTGAAAGCGAAAAAAACACAGCAGCCCCCCAGCACGGCCAACTCCCGCTAGCGCTCAGCAGCAGCAGGTTGCGTAGTGGGTTAGCGGTGGGCTAACAGTGGGTTCGCTGCACTGTTAGGGCTCTTGGGGCGCCCCAGAACGCTGGAGCCCACTGGAGCCCACTGGGGGCGGTTGCCAGTCCAGTCGAGGTGGCGCGAGCCAAGCGCTAGAGCCACAGCGCAGTAGCCGCGGCGGAGAGCGCGGGGCGGCGTGTGCGCTGCGGACTATGTCGGTACGGGTACGAGAAGGGCCAGCGGAGGCTCAAGTACGGGGTACCTAGGATTTCCTGCAGTGTTTTGTAGAGCTTGCAGGTACCCCATACATGTCTCCCATTGTACATACAGGACCTCGAATCATCGACAAATTCAATCCAGGACACAACTGGCTGGCGGCTGTGGGTTTCGATGCTACTCCTCGTACTAAAGCTTGCTGGTGACCAGCTTGGAGTCCCGTCGCTGTGCATCACTTTTCTCCTTGCGTTATTAAAGCGCCGCTGCTGATTGGCCGCCGAGCTCAGATCCCCAAGGACAGGAACGAAGCAGCTCCAACTGCCATTTGCTGCAAGTACTAACGACGGCGCTCCGATACCGATCCCGACCCGAGGCGAGATATTGACAGTTGCAGCAGAAACCACCGCCTTGCAAGGAGAATGTGAACCCATGAGCCTGTCCGCCGGCATCGTTTATTCGCATGGCCGTGAATGCTGGGGACATGGAAGCAGCCGCAAATGCCCCTACAAGTACAAGTACAAGTACAAGCAGTTTATGCGGGCTTGGGACTTTTGACTCGGCCCTCAGCCCGCCTGGCATCAGCCCGAAATTGCCTGGGCTGGTACTTGCTCTTCTTCCTTGCTTGGATCAGGTACCTGAGGTTGGTTTTGCTTTTGTTTTGCATATCAGGGCTTGAATCCAAAATGCGCCGAAAAACACGGCTTCGACATGGAAACGTCACTCGCCCGTTGGCAGTCAGTGCGTTGTCTTGTCCCAACTCCAATCAACCAGCACATGGACACCCATTTACCACCACTCGAGCTGTCCGTCTCCCCCCATCCTCCATCGCGTCTGCCGCCCAATGATGCCATCGACGCTTCCTCAATCAACGACGATGCAGCACAGCTCCAGCCCATCATTCCCTAGCCCACTCACACTGTTTGACAGTAGAGTCACTGTGGTAGCGTCAGCGCGAGGGATGAGATGCTCACATGCCACATTCAAGCATAGGTGGCAAGGAAGGGCCTTGCTCTCTGAAACACAGCTACGAAAATGCGGTGAATGCCAATGCAAGCCCGCAGACTCTGGATGTCCAAGTCCCGGTATGGGCAGGAATCGACGGCGCACTCTCGGCCGCCCACTCCATTTCTCCCTGTGCTGCTACAGTACGCCTCCGACTGCTACTACGACTCCTACTACTATCCACCCCCGCCTGGTTCGATGCGCTACTTTGTCTTTCGCAAGCAAGCCAAGGTCCGAATGACCAGTGACTGGTGACCAGACCAGGGACGGCGCATCGGTCTTGTTCGGGCCATGTCCACAGCAATGCTGATCTTGCGAGGGGCCAGAGCTCTCGACGATGAAAATCCAGGGTCCTCAATGGGTCCCCCCAACTCTTGCGGCGGCAAGGGAACTAGAAGCTGAATTGCCACTCGAGCTCTGCTCTCGTTTCCGTACTGTTCGTTGGTGCGCGCATTTTACTGCTGCACATCCGTTGCATCATGTCCAACAGATGTGCAGAGCATCGCTGCTGAGAACTCGCCCTGAGTTGGTGCAGAGCTGCGAGATCGCCTTGGCCTTGACATCATCACCCCGTCTCTCTCCAGCTCAACACGTCAGTCGAGACCAACGGGACAGGGGCCAGGCAGCAAAAACGCCAGACATCCACTTAGACTACGGTACAGACAGCGAATGAGAGGTGCCGGGCACCCATGGGGCAAACACCTCGCGATGCCCAATGAGCTGGGGGACGCATTGCTCCTCTTGGTTCACCAAATATGCTTTTCACGCGCCTCATCCGCGCGAACCATCAGTCGGTCGGCCGCGCCGAGCGACAGACCGTCTTTTCGACTCACTTACAGAGTCCAATTACTCAAGCATCTGCGTCGTGACAATGACTAGCGCTGGTACGGCCAGTAGTACGATCGTTGGACCGAAGATCATCTGAGCGCCGCGCCGGCGTAGCAACCTAGGCCATCCGAAATATCATTTGTCCAAGTCGAGGTTATGCTTGGAGCACCTCTCCTCTGTGTGCCGGCCCGACACGACATTGCAGACGGACGGGGCATGTCGTACAGCATGCTGCGGGTAACTAACTAGCAGGTAAAAATCTGACCGTCGCCTGCCTTAGCGAAAAGGAAGCCCCGTTTTTTTACCATTCAGATATCAAGCACTAACTTGGGTGCTTTGTACGAGACTCCCTACAGGTAGTGAGATGAATACGGAGCGCGGGATGGCATGGTTCGTGCATATAGAAGCACCATGCAGCTGCTCGTACGCCCGCACTTTATGGGATAGGTCTATGGAGTGCTCAGATACACATAGGGAGCAGCAGTATTACGAGTGCTCCCTTATTTTTGGAAGCATCAAGCGGTCTCGCTGTTATATCTGTTCAATTCCGTGGAGCAGTGGTGCCCGGCACTTCACCAGCGGATACTTTTGCCTCCATCATGTGGGTTTGGCCCCGAGGGCTGTGAGACGGTCAAGTTCGAGCGGAGTCGGTTCGGTTCCTGGAGGAGTGCCGAACTCGTACCCTGGCGTGTAATAAACGCCGATGGAAGAAAAGGGACACTTGGCCCTACGGTTGCTAGATCTCTGGAAAGTCAATGGCCTGCTCGTATCTCGTGTGTGTGGGCTGAAGCCAATGTTGCTGAAACCTTCAAACGCCTTCCATTGGAACGACGGCGCAGTGGTCTCTTCGCTTCGAGTGAAGCAGTTGTTGGGTTTGCAAGCTCCGACAAGTTCTCAAGCCACGTACGGTGGTATCAGCGAGGACGGGTCTGCCGGCCTCCCTCCAAATAGACACCAGCATGGCCAAGGTTTCTTCTCTTGCTTTCCATGCCGCCAAGAAAGAAGGCATGATGGCCGGCGCTGGCTCGAGTAATCGTCCCCCCTATCCTGGAAAGGATGCAGGCATCAACCTGCAATCGGAATGAGAAAGAGAGTTGGCATGTAAAAACGATTCGTCAGCTGCTAGCTTGATTCTGAAATCCACGAGCCGGTATGTGACCAACATCTGGCAGAGATCCAACGACAATGGTTTCCAAAAATGGCATCTATCACTCTCTCTCCTCGAATCTGTCATTTCCGGAGCTTTCCGGCCAGGATACATAACAGCCAAGCTGTCAAAGCGCGTTGTTGGTTTGCTGCTGTTCTATTATCAAGAGCCGGTCCCACCAAACGCCAACGCCACGACTCATTGCCATTGAGCTTGTCCAATGGCAAGCGCAAACTCTGTTGCCATTCGCTAATGGGGCATTCTTCTAGAACAATTCGCCGCCGTGCCGAGCCCAGGGGATCCCGGTGCAAAGCGAGGCCCTGAGATGGAAAACTTTCACAGGCCAAGAGGAGCGTTGCACACGGGCTGGCATCAATGGCCAACGGCTTCACTGCTTGACTGCGTGTAGGATGATGTAGGTGTGCGCCGTTTTGCATGTACAGAAAGCAGCCCTGTTATCTGTGCGTCCCGCCTACTGCATGCTGCTTGCACATGTGACATTCAAGGAATGATGCAGCCACCTGAGACCCAGCTTGCAGAAACCTTGGGGGCCTTACCCGAACCAACTGATGGTAGGGTTACTACCTACATTCCGCCATGTAGTATCAAGATGGATGTCGGATGCGCGAGTATCGAATACAATCTACCCGAGGCCTTGACCTCGCTTGATCAGGCCGAAATTGCTTGCCTCATGGCTCTTTCACCAGATGCCCACATTCCGAGCCTCGGCATGGTGGAAACCGGCTCCAAAGCACTAGAAATGCCAGCTGGATATCAATGAGGCTCAGTTGCAGCCAAGGAGGCTCCTACAGGAACTCGCCGAGATCAAACCGGCGAATATACGGAGAATCGATTCATGCTCGTCCACATTCGCCGCTTGCCCACCTCATCGCGAGTCGTATAGCGTAGTCTGCCACCCACATACGGATCGGGATATACTAACGTTATGTGGAAGATGTTTTCCGTTGCTAGAGCATTTAGGTTAAGAGCTCGGGAAAAGAGCTCCGTTCCTGTGTTTACTTGATAGACTACATGCAGATCTGTTTTCTGGCTTTGGACCACTGTGACTTGTCCATCAGGATTTCTTCAGCCAGCTGCTAGCTTGAAAATGGCATCCTCTTCAAGTATCAAATAAAACGAATGGCTTCATCGTAACCGGTTAAGCCAAGATGTAATTAATGATGTGCTTTTGTCCTTTGTTATTACTGGTCTCAGTGCCAGACTCGAGCGGGGGCATAAATGAGAACCTTGATGGCCACCGCTATTAGAAATACAGAACGTGGCCTCCAGTTTTCCAACTTCATTTCCCTCTTCTCCCAGATGCGTGAACAAGGGCTCGTCAGTAAGAGACGCGTAAGCGAATGCGATTTTCTGTTCAAAATCATGATTTAAGATTCTCAAAACTTCTATTTATGAGGCGCTTAACTATTTGCTGTCGCGGAAATGCGCTCCTCCTATTGCCAAAGCTGTCAATAGCTGCGAGTAATACATTTTTCCCATGCGCTCATTTATCGCAACCCTTGGAACAACCATCTCACCCGGCTCTATCCAAGTTTCTCTTTCTACTGTCTTCAAGTGAGGACGGGGCTTCCATTCTCGTTACATTCGCGGTGTGCCCTCTCTGACTGCCAGTGCTGGTCTTTCAAGAGACGTGTACCGGTGTGCAGCACCTCATTTCGCTGCACTGGCTTCCACACACTATCTGGCAATCAGCGCCGTTATCACGCTGCTGTTGAGTCGGCGTTGTTGTTGTTGTTGTTGTCGTTGTTGTATCAGGGCTCGAAGCCGCGGGGGAGCTTTGGGCTTGCCGTTGCTGGTGAGCAGGCAGTACCTCGGGCTGCAGTGTTGCCGAGTGGATTCCATACGCATGGAAGCATTCCATGATGGTCTTTGCTGTGTCTGCAAAGCTTCGGACGGTCCTACCGTCAACGACAACATGTGCAGATGCAATAGACTTGCGCTGATCTAGTCGCCAGATGTGAAGTTCATGCACAGATTCAACACCAGCGACCTGTGTGCTTGATCAGCATTCAACCCCTTATGAGGTGTGCAGCAGCTTGGGGATGGAAAGTTGTCTTCACCTTCTGGATATCTTGCTTCACGTTATCAGGATCTATCTCGTGAGGAGCAATCTGCAGCAGAATGCGGCCGCTGTTCTTAGTCAATGGCCAAGCGGTCAAGAAGATCATCAGAGAGATAAACACGCCAATGGCAGGGTCGGCATAATATCGTGCCTCCCCATGGCCTTTCCAGATAATGAGGGCCGCTGCTATGACGCCAATGTTGTTGATGGCATCACCAACTACGTGGATCATAACGCCGAGCATCCCCAAGTCTCTGCCCGGGCGAGATGGCGAGAGTGATACATGCCTGTGCTGGTGGTGACTGTTGGATGCCTTGGTTGTTTCTTTTGTCAGATCAGCGAGCTTGATTTGGTGGGCCAGAATACTCACCGACGTGGGCCGAGCCTCTGCCTCGGGCGCCGTCCCATCACCTGTTCTTGTGGCTGTGGCAGCATCTTCCTCGTGCAGGGTTTCATGCCTGTGGTTGCTATCATGGTTGTGCTCGTGCTCGTGCGCATGTGCGTGTTTATGGTTGTGGCCGTGACCGTGACTGTGGCCATGACCATGATCGTGATCATGTTCTAAACAATCATTCGTTAGCCATTGGCTTGAGGCGTTGCGGGAAAGGGGGGAGCTCATGGTGGAGCTTACCATGAAGAAACGACAAGACTAGGAGATTCAGTCCCAGGCCAACGCATCCCACGATCAGGACGACCTTCGGTTGGTCGACGACTTTCGATGGAATTCATTGTCAGCTCAGCTCCGCCAAACCGCCTACAGCCTGACTGCTACAACTCACCGGCCACGTTGATAAATCGTTCGATGGCTTGAACAAGGATGCTGACACCGAGCGCCAAAAGGAACACGCCATTGAAAAACGCGCCCAAAAGCGTTGCACGCGCCCATCCAAATGTCAATTCCTTTGGCGGAACTTTCTCTTCAGACTTCTAAGAAAAAAAGTCCATCAGATCGTGCTGCTATATCTCAGATTGGGGGAGGACGGACCATGACAGCGACCAAGGCCACCACAAATCCAAGCAAATCGCTCAACTACAAGAGGTCAGCGAAGCTATCAACTCTCTTGGAGATATGCCATACATAGTGGAACGCATCAGCGAGCAACGCGAGAGAGTGTGTGTAAAATCCGGCTTTGCATTCACGTTAGGGCGATTGGTACTCGAGATCATCATGGTCGGACACACCAGTAAGTTCGGCCACGAAAAAAGAGAATGAAATGGCTATTGTCGCCATCAATCGCTCCTTGCGACCAATTCGGATTGCCATCTTGCTTCGGGGATAACAGATACGGAGTGTATATTGCAATATCAAGGGCGATGTTGGATATTGTCAACGAGACCAAGTCGATGCTGGCCACAGCTAAGATTATATGGATCAGAAAAAACAAAGGAGAAGAGACGTCTCCTCATCACTGCAACATGCCACAGGGATACCAAACAGCCCGCAGCGGCGTCCGCTTGGGAATTCCGATGGATGTGCCTGAAGCGGGGCGATGCCAACCAGCTTTTTGCTACGTGGTTTGATGAGATGCAATCTGTTTTAGCATCAAGCATGGCATGGTTCCAAGGTTACGAGTACGTGAAAACGGAGCGCTTGACGGCTCTACCTGCCAATTGCTATGCCTACTTAGTAGGTAGTTTCCCCCGCAACGGATACTTCGTATTTTGCAAGGGAGACCATAGGCAAGTAGGTATCCGATCAGAGCACTCCGTATAACGGCAACCTACCTCCAATGCTGCGGTGATCCAAATTGAACCCTTGCACGGAGAATGCGCGCTAGAAAGGCGGATCAAAGGTTCCTCGATAACGCAGCATTTCTCAACATTGGCACTGTCGAAGGAGCCAACGGAGCATAAGACCGTGCTCATGGCGTACCCTCCATGGAGCCGAAATATGCTCTTTGTTGGCATATCAACGGGCCGAGAAAAAAAACAGTTTATAGCTTGGCGGGATGGGCCACGTACTGACAGGAGCCGATCCCGCTGTCATCGGCTTCGAGGCAAACAACTCTGAGCTGATTGAAACTGGTTTGCCTGCGATGAGGCTTGTTCAAATACCAAGACCTGGGCTGAGCAAACTTGCACGGTGTCACCGGGAGGGGGATGATACGAAAGGGTTGGAGGTAGGTGACGGACAAAGCAGGATTGGGGTACCAAGTATGTACCCATCTCGTAACGCCGACGTTGACTCGGCTGCCGGTGATTTGATGCCCAGTCTTGATCATTCCATCCATGTAACGCTCTTACTCATGGAGTGACGATGCCTCGTAGCCGGTTCGCTACATTTACAAAGCGTAGTAGCAAACTTGGAGCGGGAAGCACACCGGAATGGCAAATTTCTCAGTCCTTTGTTGTTTGTTAGTTTCCCCCTTATTGGCAAGCCTTGGCTGTGATTCGATACTAGGTCCATGTAGCATTTGATTTGTCCCAAACAAGTCACGTTGTGATGGGGTACTGTGAAATACACAATGTGCGATTTTTCTCATGTAAACTTTGGAATGTAACTCTATGTCGTTGATGAAAGGAATACGGGATAAAAGGTAAAAGTAAACCTCTTTTGAAGCTTATCTCGAGTGGCACTGGACATGTTTCACCTCAACTGTAATACCCAATACAGTATGAGGCACAGTAAGAGCAATACTCAAGGTATGCACAACTTTGGTTGGGTGCTTCCTCGTGGCATTGCGGCAGGTAGCGAGTACCCGCAGTCTTCAGCCCCACACTCGCCGTGACCCCAACTGAGACAGTGCGGATGGATCCAGCAGGCGGTGAGGCGTCTATCGCTACCATCAAGCTCCGTTTCTGCCGCCGCTGCTCAGCTTGTCAAACCGTCTGCATTCATCTCATCCCCCCCAAATTGTCGCGCGACACGCATCAGCTGCTGAACTGGCAAACATCTTCCGCAGCTGCTCGCGGGCTATGCTCCCATAAACCATCCCCCCTATGATTTGCTCATCGTGAAAACTGCCCGAGCCGATTCCATGTCCCGATATGTCGGCGCAGCACCATCGGCTCCGCGGAGGGGACCGCATTGGTCCCATCATCTTCGACAGGCGAGCTCGACCAACTCGGACCGCGCATCCGAGATATCGGCCGCCTCGCCCAGGAGTGTCTCGACGCATTCGACGGTCAAGGACGTCAAGGATGACAAGCCGCGAAAGACGGAGCGCTATTGCGCCGTCACGGTCAATGACGGATATTCGCGAGACGAGGTGTTGCTGAACCTGGACCTGATTGGCGGCGATATCAAGCCAGGCACCTTGATGTCCATCGCCGTCGTGAAGTCGGAATCTGTGAAATCGGCGGCCGTCTTTGGCGGCCTCAAGAAGCAGTCGTATGAGGACAATGGCAGCTTGCGATACCAACACATCGGCCCCTGCGACCCGAGCTCCCTCGGCGACCAGTACATCTTTGTCGCCAAGGATATGCCCAAGGAGACCAAAGCTCGGCATCCCGATATCGAAATACAAGTTGTTAAGCACATTGCGGACATATTTGGGATGAAGAAGGGGTCCATTGTCCTACTGGCACCAGTTCGTTTCTTCTCATGACGTATACCAGGTAGATCTATATGGCTGACATATTCTCCCCCACACTAGGTTGACAATGACCACCCGGTTACCGAAGCTACACACGTGGAGATGATATTTAAGGATCAGTATCTCTCACGAGCAGATATGTGGAGGGTAGCCGTCGGGGAGCTTACGCAGCGGACCGTATATAAAGGACAGTCCCTCCTCTTTTTGGGCACGATAAAGGCGCAAATCACGACGGTCTTTGTGAATGGGAACAGCGTCCAATCCGCCTTCTTTGGTCGGGAAACGAGGCCAATATTTCGCAGCGAGTCAGCTAGATATGTCCTCTTTATCCAAATGTCCAAGGAGATGTGGGACTTTGACTCCGACAGCTCTGGCGAAATCATGTTCAATAAAGTTGTCAACGGGTTTCTGCCAGCTCTCTTCAAGAGGTGGGCCGTGCTCAAGGTAAAACATTTGGTCAGCATTGTCCTCTTTGCTCGTGTCGAGTATGACACGGGCTTGACCAATGAGCTGGACGTGAGCGCACTCCAATCGGATTACTACACGGGAATCCAGCCCTACGGGAACCGGCGTCCATACAAAGACTTCTATCGAGTCGTAGTGAGTGAAATGGCTAGCGGAGAGTGGACCAAAATCCTGTACCAACTGAAAAGGCAACTCAACTACTTTCGAAAAGACATCACTCTGCATCACCAAACAGCATATCCGTTCGATGGCCTCAAAGAAGGTGCATCTGGGAACGAGGCAGCCAGTCGGATCAGAGCCGAGTCTTCCTTTGCCATCCACGGCAATATTCTCGAGGCCATAAACCTTGCTTGCGCACAGTTTTCTCATGATTACATCGATCGAGACTTGACTAGGACAGGCATCTCCATCGCTGTCATTAGCGCTGGCGCTGGCATCTTTGAAGTGGATTATGAGACACTGCGAAGAACTACAGAAGCCCTTGTAGGAAATGGCATCGGGATTGATTTGATTTGCATGGCTCAGATGCCCCTGCATTCTGTTCCTCTTTTCAGATATCGGAATCCACGATTCTCAATAGCGGGGGACTCCTCTCAAGATCGCCACCATTCACTCTCGAGGTCCTTTCACAGTCGTGACAGCACACCAGGCCAACCAACTCCCGTTATCGGGAGTTTTCAGTCCACTTCTGGCTCTTTCTCGCCCTCGAAAAGCAGAGACATGATGCGCCGTGTTGAACACTTTTCCCAGAGTAGGCGTGATGAATGGTGTTATGTACTGCCGCAATGGCTGCACGTGTCGTTCTGGACGGGCACCTCAAACGAGGCACTTTCATACGCGGGCGTGGCCCTGTCTGTATCCAAGAAGATGGAGCAAGACGACGATGATGAATTCAAAATAAGATGCCGCATGTACGACCTTCAGATGCGGAGCGCACTTGATACGAACGAGATTGAAATCACTCCGCTGCACTCGGACTCTCATTATCCCAGCGATATCTTTGAGAAGAATAGCTTCCTGAAGAGACGCCAAGAGGCGATTGGCGATATCTGGTACAACCCCCCGGGTCGTCTTCCGGATCATCTATATGATACCATCCAGGGAATTCAGAGATTCTCGCCCGAAAGGCACGCGCGGCCCGCGGAAAGACCTTCTTGGAGACAGCTACAGGAATTTGATGATTCTAGAGCCATCCTGACTCGCCACAAGCGCCACCACCACCATGGCTCGGAAGCAGGTGGCAGGTCGGATGAAACTCGAAGGCATCATATAGAGGACTTGAATGTTCTGGGATCCTCTCTTCCAGAAAAGAAATTATTCAATAATGTCCCTTCGGCCAGGAAGCTCTCCATGAACCAAGCAGAGATGGAGAAGCCGAACATGTTCTCAAAGCGAAAGCTACCAGATCCACTACCTCTCAAAGAATCGCCTTCTCCTACTCCTACACAGCAGTTACCACTGCCGGCCGTTGCAAAGGTGTCTTCATCTTCATCTTCGTCGTCAAAACAGCCCAAATTTATGAAGCAAATTAGTCTTGGGCACCGAGGATTCGGCATAGCAGCCCCAAAGATCGCAGCGGCCGAAGTGAAAGCCGAAACTGTCAATGCAGCCGTTACCAAGTCAAACGCGCCGCCAACTCCTCGATCACGTCCGGATTTGAGACCATCCACTCCCCAGACAATCAGAAGCCAATCGCCATTCTCAGTAACCAGGCTCAGGCCGGAGGCGGCTGATCCTACAATAGAGAGAATGTCATCCACGCCAAGCATCCCTATCCTGAAGAAAAACGGGTCGAATCGTCACGATATGCATATATACAATCTCAAAGCTGGAACGCCTGCACATACTTCAATGTCCCGCGCTCATGGTGACAGTCCCGAAGATGACAGCGAATTATATCAAAACATGTTCCGGACGGAAGATCACAAAGTTGTCTTGAGTAAACTTCGTGCCGGAGTCGGCGTGACGCCGGACCCTCCTGTGACGATTTCGCCATCGTCAGCAATCAGTCCTTGGCTGGTGTTGTTGAATCCATCTGACCCAGAGAAGAATCAAATAGACGCGGCCAACCTATACACACGCTGGCAGCACATCTTTCCTCGCATCTCCGAGATGAAAATCCAGAAATGGAAGGCCCTATGCTGTCCCGCTGCAGTTCCGTTGACGACTGAATACTTTCCTACCAGAGCCCAGTTCGATACCGAGTATCAGAGGCACCCTTACAATGTGGATCAAAACGCAGACGACGATTCGTCCGAAGAACCAAAGACTCGACAAGAGTTTATCAGCGAGCTGATTAGCCTCCGATTTTCACAAGGATTTCAGGTGGTAGTTGGTCCAGCCGTGGCGAGAGCATTTGGCCAAAAGGTCATCAAGCTCGGGGATATATTCTCGCGTGATCAAGTTCTTGAAGACGGCACCAGTATATTCATGTCTGTTGGCAACATTATTCATCAGCTCTCGTGCGTGAATGGGACTGAAGTAGAGGTCAACATCTACATTAGAAAACCCACGGCAGACATGTCGGGGCTGCCGGACGGATTCTCTCCCATGTACAAGCCGGCCATCCGAACTCTGTTTGATACAGACTATGAGGCCCGACATATAGAACTGCTATCGATTCCAAGGCCCGACCGTAACTGGAACATGATTGATTCGTACGCTGCGGGCCACCACGACGAGATGATGGAGAGCCTGCGCTTCTGGAGGGCCCGGTTCGTCTTCATCCCACTGGTCGCCCAGAACCCTTCGGTGCCCAGGACCCAAAACGGTCTATATCCTGAAGAAATCAGGATAGAAGGCATCAAGCGCTTGGCGCAGCTGTGGCAGAAGAATCGCTACGTACCGCCCTCGGAACGTCGATTCCAAACGGCCAGAGGGCGCGGGCAGCTGGACCGTAGTCCTCTGGATATTGTCTACAAGACAGAGGATCCGTCCGTTGTCATTGCGGCTGAGCTGGAAACATTACCCCTAATCGAGGGCCTCGAGGGCGGCATGGGTAAGAAGCATCAGCTCGTATCGAGGAAAGACCGTTTCGAAAAGTCCAACCTGAACTTTTCTGTCTTGGCCGAAGCCATGCAGCAGCCAGTGGAACAGGGCGGCGTGCCTCTGCGAAATCGCCGCTGGCATCTTCGGCTGCACTATCACTCTTTCCTCGGGTCTGATATGACGACGTGGCTATTGGAGAACTTTGATGATCTCGAGACACGTGAAGACGCGGAAGATTTAGGCAATGCTCTGATGGTGCCGGAAGAGCCCAAAGGCAAAGACAAGGATGTGGCTGAAAAGGAAAAGGAGAAGGAGAAGGAAAAAGAAAAGTCTAAGGGGCTTTTTGTGCACGTCGAAAGACGACACCGTTTCCGAGACGGTAATTACTTTTACCAGTTTGCCCCTGAGTTTGCGAAACACTCGTCGGGCTGGTTCGGCAGCAAGAGGAAGGAAAATCCCCTGCCCTTGACACCGATGACGGAGTCGTCCATGGGCTCGGGTAGAAGATCGGTACACGAAGACCACTCGCCGTCATCGCTGACCAGTACTCCTACGCTGTCGTCGGCACATATCGCCAAGAGTCGCCCCAAAGTCATCCTCAGCAAGGTCATTAGATACGATGTGGATCCTAGGAAGAGGTCATATCGCCCTGAACGGATTGACCTGCACTACGACCGCCTTCACAACCCAGATAACTGCTACCACGTGAGGATCGACTGGATGAACGCAACGGCCAAGCTCGTGGAAGACGCCGTCGATGTTTGGGAGCGCGAGGCTAGCCAGTACGGCCTTCGCCTCGTCGAGGTGCCCATCAGGGAGGCCAGCGGCATCACCGAGGTCAATCCCTTCCGTAAGCCGTTCGCCATCAAGCTTGCGGTCCAGCCACCCGACAAGCAGCCCGAGACGTTTTACGATCCAAACTCTCTGGGGCCGCAGACGGTCCCGACAAAGCACTTTTATCAAAAATCCATACTGCGGCACTTTGACTTTGTGCTGGATATCGAGGCTGCCGCGAACTATCCCAGCAATGTAGACATTATCTACTCCTGGGGGCGTCCAGATTACAGGTACACGCAGTACATTCATCGCTCGGGAGTTCTGCTCGCCCAGGTGACGGATGATGGCAATTTCATCGTCTTGGCAAATAGGCTGTACGGCAGAAGAGCTGTAAAGGAGAGAGAGGCTGCGGCCAGGAACATGGCCCCGATGGAACCTCCTCGTCGCTTAACGGACGGAATCGGCCCTCGAGTACCGTCGTACGACTCCTTTAACCTCTCTGAATCGGTCATGGCGGGTTCCTCGATGCACCATGCCGCCCATCAGGGGCACCTGCACCATCATCACGGCGGGCTGCACCAACACCAGCATCACCACCACTACCACCATCCATACCACCACTACTCGCCCAGTATGAAGGCCGTCAACATGTCCGGCCCGACCAACGACAGCCCCGTGGGCAAGCATCACCAGCTCCATTCCTCCGCCAACCCCACGGCCCACCTTGGCGAGCCCGAGGCCATCAAGGAAGAACTCGAGGCATTCTGCTCCGACGCCGCCGCCCTCGAGGCGTTTTACAAGGAGACGCTGGAAAAGGCCCAGCACATTGAGGGCACGCCCGCCACCGCCGCCGCCGCCGGGCCACCGGGCTTGGAGGCCGTGCCCGAGGCGAGCATCCCGTCGCTGGGGCTGCCGCCGGGCGTTTTAGCATCGCTGGATGGGGGCGGACCTGCGGCGGCGGCGCTGAGGATCGGAAGCCCGATGATGTTTTTGAGGAGGGGGAGTGTGCAGTTTGATGGCATGGGGCTGGGGTCTAAGAAGTGAGTTATGATGATTTACAAAGTTGGTGGATTTAGTTGTCTTGATGGATTATATGTAAGTTGAGAGAGATATTGGGAATGACAAGTAATGTAATGAATATCACGTATCGGTATACATCTATTAGTTTTCTTTTTTCTTGGAGAGAATCTTATCCTAGCCAGGAACAATGTCGAAAAAGGAATCAATAAAATTCTCTCATTATTCATTCATATCCCACTACATACCGCACGCAATCTGCATTCAGGGTAAAAGTAAAGAAAGCCATTAAATCCTTCCTTTTATCATATCTCTAATCAAGGTATCAAATTACCACCCCCTCTACTCAAACCAAACTTGTAAAATTTCCATGCCATTTCATAAACTACTCAAACAATAAAGCCACCATTTCATATTCCATCTCAAAAAAAAAAGCCATCGTGATAACTTAAAAATAAAAAAATAAAAAAGGCTAATAAAAAAAAAGCACAAAAATGCGTCATGTTATCTCGGATCTTGTGTCTTTATGTGCAAAAAAAAAGGTGATTTCTCGTGTGTACGTCATAAAAATAAGTACATCGAAGTAAAAGAAGAAACAATAAAAAAGATTCGTATTTTTTTTTTCTTCGCCGCAGAAAAAAAAAAGGCAAAAAAATTGTTGGCCGCTACACAACGATAAAAAGGTAGTATATCCGGGGGGGAATCCGTTCTAAGGTAAAGACAACAAAATGGTTTTGAGGCTTTGTGTAAATGCAACCGTCATTTTTCTCGCGTTGATTTTTTCTTTCTTTTTGGTCCGTAAAAAGGTGTGTGTTTCTTCATAAATTCTCCAACAGGCATTAAAAAAACCGAGGCAAATAATATCTTTGTATGCAGAAGACGAATAAAAAATGTTAAAAGAGCAAATGCGAGTGGTATCAAAGAAAATAGAGAGAAAACAAAAAACGAATGCAACAGATTTTTCTTTATTTTCTTAACCGGACTCTGCTCCGGTGTCTTGGTCGGGATAAACTAAAAGATGTACATGTTAGCAACCGAGTTTCGCTTTGATGTGTCTTGAGTTGTGGTGAAACTTACAGAACGCGCAGACTGCAATGATTGCGTACAAACACATCAAAAGCCAGCCCTCTAACCAGTGGCTCTTTCCATCGCCAATGAGGTAGTTGACAAGCAGCACGGCGACAAACATGACGGCGACCTGGAAGGTGTCGAAGCTCAGGTTCATCTCGTCGTTGCCCATGCCCCAGCCGATAACGACCAGCACGGGGATGAGGAACAGGGCGACTTGCATACTAGATCCAACGGCAACACCAATGGCCAGATCCATCTTGTCCTTTACGGCGACGGTGACGGCAGTGACGTGCTCAGCGGCATTGCCGACAATGGGAAGCAGAATAAGACCGACAAACTCCTCGGATAGAGCGCCGTTCTGGGTGATGGCATCGATGGAATCGACCATGTACTCGGCGCAAAGGGCAATGATGGCGGTGGAGATAGCAAGGGTAGCAATGGCCACCCAAAAGTGCAACTGGGGCTCCTCCTCCTCTTCCTCCTCTTCCACCTTGTTCTCGGAAATGTTGGCCATGTGTCGCCCGTTGTCGGTGTCGATCATGATGCTGCCAACCTGAGCGCTGGATGCCAGGCCTGATTTGATGTTCGCCTTGGAAGTGCTACGGAACGGCTTGCGCTCTACCTTTTCGCTGGGGGTCGCAAACACCTCCTGGTGGGTGTGGAGCTGGAAGAACAGATAGGCGCCATAGACGACAAGCAGGATGACGGCCGTGCCGCGAGACAGCTTGGCGACCTTGTCGGTGGGCGTGTTGGCGGCAGCGTCGAAGACGGTAGGGACAATGACCGAGGCCGCAGCCAGGGCCAGCATGGAGGCGGCCGTCTGAGCCACGGTCTTGTTGAAGTTCTGCTCGGGGCGACCCAGGCCGCCAAAGAAGAAGCAGAATCCCATGACAAGCAACAAGTTGGAGAGGATGGAGCCGATAAGAGAGGTCTGGACGATGGCGACCTTGCCGTCGACGAGGGCAAGAATGGCCACGATGAGTTCGACGGCATTACCAAAGGTGGCGTTGAGAAGACCTCCGAGAGTCTCGCCGGTTCGCAGGGCGATTTCTTCGGTTGCGAAGCCCAGGATGGAGGCGAGTGGGACGATGGCCAGGAAGTTGACGACAAAGACTGCTTTGCGGTCGACGGCAGGGATGTAGTTTATCGCGATACCAACCGGAGCCGCGATAAGCAGCAGGTTGATATAGGAGCTGAGCAGCGTCCGCTGGATCTGGTTGGCCACGGTAAAGGGCTCCTTGGGGTAGACATGGCGGATGAAGCCACCCTCCTTTTGAGGCTTCTTGGTCTTGCTGGTTTCAGGCTCGTCGACGCGCATCTGTTCGGTCGTGCCATCCTGTTCTCCCTTGCGATTGCGCAGCAGATTCCGGTCGATGAGCGGAATGTCGTGGCTGTCTTCGCTCGCCTGCTTGGCAGCAGCGTCCTCGGTGCCTTGGCCTGTTCCAGAGGTCGAGATGTCTCTCCCGCCGCTGGTCGGGTAGGGCGAGGTGGCGGCGTGTGTCAGATCTTCACCGTCGCCCTCGGTCTGAGCTTCGAGCTGGCCGCCGTTCCAGGTCTCGGCGCGCTTGGGCTTCCACGATACGTGTCGAAAGGGATTCCATGCCTCGGTGCCTTGGCGGCTGATGTTGTGCGCTTGGCGCTTGATGCGAAAATGATTGACTGAGAGCAGCTGGGTTAGTCTGTGTCTCCCATTTTCGCCATCGCTCGTCTCGTGTGACGACATTCGCGATGTATGGCAAGGGAGTGGAAGCGTGCTGCTTCAAGGGCACGGCGCAAGAAGCATGAGACGGGCGGGCCCAAGATGGTAAAAACAAGAGCACAAGGAGTGACGGGTGAAGTAAGGTCAAGGAAACAAGGCAAGGCTAGGCCAGGCTGAACAGAAACAGGTGTCTATTGATGCCGTGCTCAACAAGTGAGAGAAACCCCGAGAAACCACACCAACAGCAGGGCCATCGAATGGTCTGCGGATTGCGTACAGGAAACGGGTACGGGTACGAGTAGTATGGGTAGGTATAGGATCAGGTACGGGTATGGGATCGGGGTAGGGATAGACAGATGGGATGCTCGGCGCGGCCGGGGATTAGGATGGGACTTGGTAGGACGGGGGAGCAAGGCAATTAACAGGAAATGAGTTGGTGCAGAGACGTTGCGCATAAGAACTCACAGGTATCCATGGTTTGGTTTGGGGTCGTCGACTCAGCACTGCCCGGTCCACAACAAAAAACTCCCCACTGAGCGATTAGTCCCGTCAGGTACAAGACGGTCAAGGGGATTGGGATTGGGATTGGGATTGGGTTCGGCTTCTTGGGTTCGGACGGAGCTTGGCGCGCGCGTCCGTTTCGGTGTCGGAGGAAGAATGGATGCCGGATGGTGTTTTGGGGCGGCAGGACTGACGAGGGACTTTGTAGTCGTTGGATCGACGGGCGGCCTCGATGTCAAGGTGAACAGCCTCAGCACAGCTCCCTTGAATCGCCCTGGGACGCGTATTTGATTTGGAACTTGGGTGATGCAGCCGCTGGTAATTCCACCGTTGCTCCTGGGGCTGTGGCTGGTGATGGTTTCTGCAGCGGGGACTTGCTAGTACCGGAAGAGTAAAATAATATCCTGGGCCCCCCTGGCAAGGCCTAAACGCGTACTTGGGCGGAATGGATTCGTGGGAGAGAATGGCAATGAAAAAAAGGGTACAAGTAATTTGCCCTTGTCTCGGAAAATGCCTGTGCTTGTGCCGTGCCGTGCTGGACTGTAGCGGACAGGTATGGATGTGTGCGATGGATATGTATGTATGTGGCTGATGGGCCCGGATGTCGCAAAGAGCGTCTTGGATTGTTATTTGATGGTGTTTGTGTGCTATGTCGTCGCTATGCAAGCTGCAAGCTGCAAGCCAAGATTTCTCCAAGACACTTCTTTGAGCGGTCGCACAACAGCCGTTCGTTCGGATAGATGGCCCGAAGCGTCTTGGCTCCTTGGCTTCTGGCGATCCGTGAGGCAGAGTTTGCTTCTGATTCCACGGCTCTTCGATCAGGCAACCATGGAAGCCAAACCAAAGTCCGGAGGCGGGGTTTGCGTCTGTCGGGGATCGAGAGAGGCGGGAAAAAAGGAGGCTGTGCGAAATGCCGGCAGTAGTAGCAGCAGCAAACGCGCGCGCAAAAAGGAAGAAGAAGAAAAAGGAAGGGCTATGCAAAGGAGAAGAGGGTCGAGGTGAATGATGCGCTGCTGCTGTTTTCCGTTGGAGTGAATGGGCGAGAAGCAGTCAGCCGTGAGGAATCTTTTCTTGTTGCAATCGACAGAGGAGGAGGAGGAAGAAGAAGAAGAAGTAGGAAGAGATCAATGCCTCCAGTCAATGGGAGAGAGCAGGTTGTTCAAACGAAAAAAAGAATCAATGACGGCAGGCTGATCCCCTAACTAAATTCAAGGTTTGTTTCTGCCACAAGCTTAAAACTGCCCGCCAACACATTCAACTGTTTGGTGCTGCAACTTCAGGGGGCTACAGAGGGCTGCTCGTATCGTTACTGGGGACCACCAGGTGCCGAGCAGGTACCGCACAGGTACTCGGTAGTTACTCGTACACTTGGGCAGAAGGGGGAACAAGGGGGGCCAGCGTGACGCTATCACATCGCCTGGCTGGAGATTGCTTTGATCTGGTGGTTTCGAGGTTTCACTGTACGGCGTTGCAGTGAATTGATCAAGCTCATCACGGGATCCTTGTCTGCAACAAGGTTGCGCTGGCTAGTGTGTCTGTTAGCGGTATGGCGGCGTGGCCTTGCAGGACCTTAACAAGGACGAGACACTGTATTCACATCAATTTTGGGCACGCAGCCAATGAATCATGCATTTGAATGGGTTCGACCGACTGTTTGATGCCATGCCAATCAGTGGACTACTGTAGTCTACACGGAGTACAATGGGCTCGGAGGCCTCCTGAACAACTCCTCGAACGGGTAACTCATTCAAATGGATCTGTTTGTCGTCCATGGGAATAGGTCCTGTAGAAACGTCAATGTCCAGGTCAATGCCGTTCAACAACGCCCGTGCTGCCCGCCTGCTAACACAATACGAAACATGAACCTTTTTGCTTACGGCAACGTCAAAGCCTCGTTTGTCCTTGAACGCTCCATTCACTCACCGGCCCTGCACCCACCGCCTGATTCAAGGCTCCCCCGTTCAGCTTCAGCTTCAAACCCGCTTCAACAACTCACCACATCAGACAAACAGAAACCACCACCCGATGGCGGTAGGTACCTAAAAAGTACCTCGCCGGTACTCTCCCCCCCTCCACCAAACAACCACACCGGCGCGTCTCCATCCACACAAGCGCTCTCTTAACCCCTGTCCCGCTCCTCCACCCCTGATTGATGAACGAGAGCGAGCTAAACTCTCTTTTTTTCATCCCTTGCGCCGTGGGTTGATTTTCTCATCGTGTCTGAATGGCATGTCCAAATCCTTCTTCTCGCTAGTATACAGAAATCTAGAACAATTCGTTTCAGGCTCCCGTGCAACAACAGGTATCAATACAATGTACGAGTACTCCCAACCCAGCGCCACGGCCCAACGACTCAGTCGCATTTGAGCCAATCACTCGCCCTCCCAATGCCCAACACAGTAACCAAGACGCCACCTCATAATTACAGTCCAACTACGTACTCCATCAGCGATCAACATGGGCCACCCAAAATCAAGATTTCCTCCAATCGCCCACCCAAAAAAAAAATTACTCTTCACTCTGTTTTTTTTGCCATCTTGCCATCCGTCAGTTTCAACCAAACATTCCCTTTAGTTTCATGCACTCCTGCATCCCCCTCCAAAAAAAAACGAACCGCATCATCCCCCCTGCCTGACGTCAGATGCCGCACTCTCTCCCTGCAGCTCGCGTCTTCTTCAGCCTTTTAGGAATTTGATCCCATTCGACTTCACCGTCCCTCCGTTCCTCGTCATCTCTCCTCCGTATCGGCCGTTGAAATCCCCCGATCGCTACTAAAGAATATCCAGCCACCATGACGCCTCCAACTACATGTACCAAGGCTATCTCAAGACACTGCCCTCTCTCTGCCAGGCTTCGTAATGCGCTCAGGCTCAGCCTTGGGGAGATGACAACCAGCCACCCCGTCTCTCGTCCAGTTTGCCCAAACCGGCAAAAATTCCAAATTCATCGTCATCCTCACCCTCACCCTCACCGTAAGCATCACCACATCTCATCTTTTTCTCTGCAGCAAAAAAACCAATATCTCTCGAACTCTCGTAAGCACATAAAAAAAATACAGTCATGGTCCCCCAGCTCCCGGACGATTCCACATTCCCCCGTCCAATCCAGTCCTGCCACACCTTAACCCTCATCCTTAGTACTAGGTAGTCAATGCAAGCTACGAATACCTACCATTTGTATAAAGAAAAAAAAACAACTCGCTGCGCAAATAAACCACGCCCATTCATGCAAAAGATTCTACTCGTAACCACCGTCTCGGCAATTCCCAGGCGTCACAGCGTATCAAATAAGCCACTTTGGCCTAAACTGCTAGCTCTTCCGCTAAGACATGGGAAAATATCACCCCGACTCCCAACCAACCCATCACAGCATCACAGCATAATAATGCCATGTCATCTTTGGGCTGCGACGAGAGAATCCTTCAAATACGCATCATCGCCAAATTCCCACCAGTACGGTAGAGGAAACCCCCGAGCATGACGCTCGCAGTAGCACAACAGCCAGCTGTCACGTACTACTGTAACAACATCACCCCATTGTCACACATCACACATACACCAACCAGCTCTTGGTCGTCATTCGGTAGTAACCGTGTCTCAATTACAGTACTACTAAGATGCCAGTCCTTTCCCATCTGCCGCCTTTGCATCTCTCTGCAGCGCAGAATCCCTTTTCTATCATACAGACTGAATACCAGTATCTTTGAAAATGCCTTGAACCATGTTCCTCCCATTAAACGCCATTCCTCCGTCGAATACGTCTCGTCCGAGATATGTCTTGTATGCTGAGCAAATTGCACACCCCAGATTGCTTTCTGCGCCTTGAATATGACTTCGGTCCAGGCGTTGCCCAACCATGTATAGCCACCATCGTAGATCGACCAGTTCTCAATGCCCACCGCCACTCTCACTGTTGCGTATAAACAATAAAGGAGAGGGGGTTGGGCAAGGGAACTAAAAAAGAAAACAGAGAAAGAAAAGAAAGAAAAAAAGACTGCGCCTTCATGCCGCTAAGATGAAACGAGAAGAAGCAATGAAAAGTGGTAAAAAAAAAAAAACAGAAAAAGAAGAAAGAAGAAACCATCAAGTAGCATCCGACGCCAGATTCGGCCCAAATCAATAAACCCCATCTAGGCACTCTAGATCCATTCCATGTCTTCGTCTTCATCGCGTGACTCCGCTCCTTTGCGTGGGCGACCCCGTTTGCGTGGCTGAGATCCTGAGCGAGCTCGCTTTTTGCGGCCTCCGGGAGTGCCTACGCCTTTCCTCTTGCGACCCCGATCGGGGGTTGTGCCCTCTTCATCGCCTTCGCTAGGCGTACTCGGTCCCTCCATTGCCATCTCGTCGTCGTCGTCGTCCTGCACCTTGAGCTCCTTGTCGACGTTCATCAGCTCCACAAACGCCTTACACTTCTGTGCCATTTTGCTCATCGTCTCCAGGCTGCTCACGTGCGCCGTCACCTCGTCCCAGAATCGCTCTCCGTGAACTCCCTGCACTTTCAACGGCATCTTGTTGAGGTCCTTG